TCGTTCGCCTCCAGTTCTGTACGTAGACAACAAGGCCATGATTGCCTTATGTCAGGAGCACAGAACGAAGCACATCGCTCTGCGGTACTTCCTTGCTCGAGCGTTGCAACAGCGTGGTCAGCTTTGTCTTGCTTACGTGGCCACTCGGGCCAACACTGCTGATATATTCACCAAGGCACTTCAGTCTGGTGATCATCAGGGTTTCTGTACTGTTTTATGCTTGTACCTACTTTGCCTCACTTGCTCACTGCGTGACTTTGCTTGTACTGTGATCTATATATATACCTGCATGCTTACACTTGCTAGGGTATGATCACTGTACTGTTTGTTCTCTTTTATATAACTCTGCATGTGAAATGGCCTTGTGGCCTTTGCTTGTGCTCGGAATGTGTGGTGACTTTGTGATCCACCCTGAGCTTGCTTTGCGTTTTCTTGATTGGTCTTGTGACCACTTCTTCTCCCCCACTTTGCCTATGGGGGTGTGTCAAAATGCTATATTGCTTACTTTGTTTAGGCTGTAGTGGGGTAGGGTAGCCCATAAGGGGTACAACCCAATTAGGGTTAGTACTTGTACCCAATTCTTTCATAGTTCATTCATTCTCGTTCGTTTGTTTGACACCACCGGCGTCAGCACCCTCAGAACCAACACCTCTAACGCTAGCACCCCCAGGGTCCACACCCTCCGCGGGTGCACATCATGGATCGTGAAAGTCTGGGTGATGCCCTCATCCTGATAGACATTGCTGAAGCGATTAGAGGTGAACTCGCCACCACAGTCAGAATGCGGATGGAGCACACGACACTCGTGTTGGGCGTGGACCGCCACTAGCTATGGCATGAGAGCGTCAGGCACGTCGGCCTTCCGCTGCAAGTGAAACATTGTGGTGTAGCGAGAGTAATCGTCCACAACGACCAAGAGGTAGTGCTCTTGGCGCAGCCCAGAGACAAATGTTGAGCCTTAAACGCCCATGTACAAAGGCTGAAAGAGAGCTGTGGTACGGGGAAACTAGGAGTGAGGGGCGGCGTGCTGCCAGCCCTCAACGCATGGAGTGCATAGCGGAGCAGGCGAGGGAGGGATCGGGGCGAGGGACGCTGGGAGACCTGAGACAAGACGGTGGAGAACCATATGACAGAGACGTGGGATGGATGGGTGACCTAGACGGTGGTGCCCCAAGAGCCACGGGGTCAGCCAAAGCGACTGAGACTGGTGCTGGAAGTGGCGTGAGGCCGGTGTGGCCGCGGAAGAAGCACCGAGTGAAGGAGAGTGACGCGTCAGCATTGGTCGCACCTGTGCAATCAACAGCACTTGGTCTTACACAAGAGGCATCTACTAATCCTAGTCTAGGCACACACGAGTAATAAGATACAGCAACACTAGAGTCATCAGCATGCATAACAAGGGGAGAGGAAAAATCAGCATGCAAATCACTAATAGTCATGGAAAACAAATGTAGGCCACAACAACGGAGTAGCGGGGCCAAGCCCAGTGCAAGGCCTTTGAGCCCTTAGTGCCGGTGGTAAAGGTTGGTGAGGTAGCCAAAACACTGTCCAGGAGGGTGGGGATGATCGCAGGCGAAGCTGCGGCGCGGACTAGTCTGAACTGTGTATTAGTAGGGTCCGGCACGAGCGTCGCGCACCGTCCAGCTGACAGGCCCACCACCGCGACCAGTGCTCCAATAACCGATCGGACCCCACGGCTGCTGCTGGCCCCACTGTTGAAACTACTGAGGCTGTTGTTGCTGAACCTGTCACTGTTGCTGTTGTGACTGATGCGGCTGAATTAGCTGCTGTTGTGGCTACCACTGCTGCTATGGCTGTTGCTGCTGAACTGCCACACCCCCAAGACCAGCACCTCCTCCAGGTGCTCCACCAAACCCAGTACCTCCTCCGGCGTCAGCACCTCTACTACCTGCACCTCCGCCACCTCCACCTCAACCTCCACTCCCCCCACCCTTCTTACCACCCTTGCGACCGCTCTGCCGACCAGAGGCAGAAACAGCTGCAACCTCCGGCGAGGCAGCAGGCTCAGCAACATTAGCCGAGGTCGCAGGGGAGTCTCAAAGAGATCGATAGAGAGAGGCGTAGGGTCGATGGTGAAGAACTGATCGCGAGCACCAGCAAGAGCAGTAGGACAGGGTGGGGCTAAGAGCTCACCGGCAGCGTGCTTGAACAGGGGAATGTCCTGATGGAGCTGGCTCCCCAGGTAGAGCCGAAGCACATGCAGCAAAAACTGGAAATCGACCGAGCGCACCCCAGCATCAAAGTGCAACACTCGTGAAGTCACCATGATAGCTAGATCGGACTGCATGTACGGCAGCGGGTGCGGTCGTAGGAACATGAGCTCTAGGGGGGGACGGAACGGGCGGCACGGACGGTATGGGCAGCTCGAGCAGCTAACTTGCAGCAGCGGCACGGGCTGCTAGAGGAGTATGGACGGCACGGGTAGCAGAGACGGCAGCTAAGGGCGGCAGCAGAGGTGGCTAAGGCTGGTAGCTAATGCACGGGCGGCAATTAAGGCACAGGGAAGCAGTGCGGGCAGCAGCACGGGTGGCAGAGCGGGCACTAGTGGGCGGCAGCAGTGGAACGGGCGGCTGCAGTGGCACGGGCGGCAGTAGCAGGTCTTGTTGGCGGTGCGCGCTGCTGCCGATGCTTGCTGTTGCTGGCACACGTACTGCAGCAGCGAGCGCCGTAGCTTCAGATGCTTGTGCAGAGGCAGCGGTGGCGGCTCTAGCGGCTGCTACGGGCGGCAGCGGCGGAAGCAGGTACGCGAGCAGCGGCAGTGGCTGCGGCACTTGCTGCAGCTGCGGGCGGCAGCAACGGCAACAGCAGCACGAGCAGTGGCAGCGGCGGTGGCACTCGCGGCTGCTGCAGGCAACAGCGCGAGCAGTGGCAGCGGCGGGGGGGGGGGGGGGGGGGGGGGGTGGGGGGGGGGGGGTCGCGACTATAGCAGTTGCGAGAATGAGCGGCTGCAGCAGGGGCGAACTAAGGCCGCGGTAGTGCGATGGGAGGAGCGCGACGGAAATGGCCAGTGACGGGGGGGCACCTAAGCGCAACGAGAGGGAGGGCCCGGGAGGACCTTTATACGTGCGTTGGAAGGGGCCCGCGGGGGCATTCCAAAGCGCGAGGGGATGCACGGGGCGATGGGAGGCCTTAGGGACGACGGGCTGCACGGGGCGACAGGAGGCCTTAAGGGGGGGGACGGTCGGCCTAAGCGTTACGTGTTGTATGGGACGACTGGCGGCCTAGGCGTGACGGGCAGCGGGGAGGGGACGGGCCGTGGGACGCCTAGGTTAGTGGTGTCGACAGGGCTAACGGGGCTGGGGGGGCACGGGGCATCGAAGAGAGTGAGGCAATCGAGCGCACTAGGGTAACTAGGGTTTTGCGCGACAGAAGCTAACGGTCCTATCCTAAGCTGATACCATGATAACGAATGAACTGAATGAGAATGAGTAACAGCAGGGCGTACATGTTGTAGATATAGCAAACCCTAACCTGTGCCATACAAATGTTGTACTCTCTATAGAGTAACCCAGCCTAGCATATAACGTGGAATATATATAATTTGACAAGTAATACAGTACGGTATGATCGGAGCAGGGCCCAAAATTGGTTTAGGCCCACCCTGACAAATCAGGGTTGCAGCTCCTCTTTACCCTGACCCGTTGTGTAAAATTTTCCATACCCTGTTTGCATCAGGGTAAATCAAGGATTTCGGCATGGTAGCCTGATTTGAGCAGGGTATTTCTACAGATAGCCTGTTTCCAATACTACTTTGTCTGTTACGTAATTTCTTCAGTATTAATAAGGTTGCACAAACATCACAACTACTCAGTTGATGCGTAGGACAGCAAGAAGTTATCCTTGACGCGCAACTCTGCTCACCTGGTAGTGGGCGTGGTGTGGTTTGGCTCGATGCAGGGGTGCGTTGGCAGTCCTGTGGGTAAGACAGCCAATAAGGCCACATGGCAAGCCGCCGACAACATTTCACGGTTTCCCGCCTGTGGTCACCAGCGACAACGGTGCCAGTGTGAGAGTGGGCATTTTGGCACCACGCGGAGAATGGGCTGATCCGCGTTAAAAATAGTTTCGGTAACTGGGTAGTCGTCACACAACCCTGATTCCGTCAGGCTAACTAAAAATCCAATCAGGGAAAAAAAAAACACCTTTTGGGTAAGGGTAAGAATCTACGAGGCCTGATCTAGAAAGGGTAACTCTGAAAAAGCGGCCTGCCCCCAGGGTAATCAGGGCATTTTACCCTGATATTTTGGGCCCTGGATCGGAGCCACGAGCGAACCAGATATGGCAAAACATGCATACGGTAACATGCATGTGCACGCTAGCCTATGCTATGATGGCAATGAGTCTTGGGCTATTCAAGAAGCATAGGCCGACGCGGCCTTATACAGCAGTGTGCTGTTTGGCAAAAGCTGGAGCACAATGTTGCGAACACTGTTAACCGTAACGGGCGAAGAACGGTCGAGGCCCCTGTTGTACGCGGTGAAGTCAGGTGCGACGTCAGGGATTGAAAGAAATCTTACACTACACCCTCCCTCAAGAAAGCCATATGCGTAAGTCAGTGCATGCATGTCGCGGAATCCACGGCTACTAGAACACTCATGGAGGACGGGGAATCTCTCAGTATCACCCAGGGGCATCAAACTTTCTTAAATTGGCGTGTTGAGCTCGATCCGTCGAGATCTCTGGGGGTGAACTGTCGGAAGAGGAGGTCAAGGGGAAGGCGGAGGGCCAGAGGTGATGGGGCGATGCCAATTTCGGACAAGGGCTGGCTAGCTGGAGGGATCGCTGATTCGCTGGGGTGGATGAAGCGAAATCTCGCTATAATGGTCTGATGTTTCTTGCGAAAAACGTTAGGTGTGTCGGAATCAGTTGTGCACACCACAGCAAGAATCATGAAATACCTTCCTCTGGTTATCCCTTTCACAGAGACACCACAACTCCCCAATAATTATGCATCAAATTTTTATTTTTATTTTTTCAAATTACGATATCTCAATCACAGGCATTCCTACAGAACGCCGGCTCCCTCCTGCTCCTTTCTCCCTAACCTCCCCAACCTCCCTCGCAATCCGAACCACCCTCTCCTCATCCACATTCGGGCACCGTGCCAGGCGACACCTTGTGATTCGCTCGCAGCCATGTAACACATGCGTGGCGCCTTGTGTGGTAACCCCGCTACAGGCGCGGAGGGAGAGAGTGGAGAGCAGCGGGCAGTGCGAGGCGATGGTGTGAAGGAGGAGGTCTGAGATGTGGCTGGCACGGAAGCCAGAGAAGCAGATGTGCTGCAGGCTATGGCATGACTGCACCAGGGGGATCAGCCCCGCCTCTGAGATCTCCCTGTGGGCGGAAAGCAGGGAGGGAGGTGTATGTGAGAGGATAGGGTGGGGAAATGAGGTACAAGGAAACGCAGGACTGCAGCAGCGGGATGAGCCCCGCCTCTGAGATTGTCCTGTGGGCAGAAAGCAGGGAGGGAAGGAGGAAAAATTGGGCAGAGAAGATGGAGAGAGAAATTTACATAGAGAAGGTAAAAAAAAAAAAAAAAAAAAAAAAAAAAAAAAAACGCACACACATTCAGGTCAGAAGAAGAGGAAAGGGAGGGGAGGGGAAGGGAGGGGTGAGTGTGGCCTGTAAAAAAACAGGATCAGATTGAACCACCACTACTGCATATCACCCATCACTATACCGCACCCAGAATCACCGCATCACACTGCAACGCACCTGCAGTACTGCACAGCGAGTGTGGAGAGGCGGGGGCAGGTGGCAGCAGCGAGCAGCAGGAAGGAATCGGAGAGCCCATCCAACCCCTCCAGCTGCAGACTCTCCATCCCACTCCACCCCAGCTGCAGCAGCGGCAGCACGTGTGACTGTAGCCGGTGTGACTGTGGCCCGTGTGACTGTTGCAGCGAGGGGGCATCCGAGGCAAAGGGCTGCATAGTGGATGGTAACCGCGTGTCTTGAGGTGGCGTAGTGAATACACCTTGAACCAATCCGTCTCGCATCAGATCCGCCTCTCGCGTCGCCTCAAAGGCTGTAGCCTCGAAGGCTGTAGCCGCAAAGGTGGACCACCGTTTAGCATCCAGCACGTCTCTCGCGAGCTGGAGGCCAGTGAAGCCGGGGCTCCACTTGAGCTGCAGCGATCGCAACCCCACTCCATGCACCACCACCGCCCGTAAACTCTCATCCGTCACCCTCGCCACTCGGCCCCCATCGCCTCCTCCTCCACCCCCACCCGCTCCTCCCACCCCTCCTCCTCTCAAACCCCCTTCCCCTCCCTCTCCTCCGCCTCCACTCCCTCCCTCGCACCCACTCAGTGTCAGGGAGTTGATCGCAGGGCAGCCTGTCAGGAGAGCCACGATGCCACGGTCACTCACACCCTCGCAATCCACTATTTCTACACTCTCCAGCTGGGTGGCTGTTCGGGCAGCTGTCAGAAAAAAACGGTCGAACGGGTCCGGGCAGGCCATGACGGTCAGCCTGCGCAGGGCGGGCAGCTGCCCAGCAAACATTTCCAACCAATGGGCATCGAGCGCGCAGTTGATGATTTTCAAGGAGGAGAGGTTGGAGAAGGATGCTGCGAGACTGCTACCCCAGCCTGCCGCTTCCGTCCCCTCTGCTCCTGCTTGTGACTCTGCTGCCTCTGCCTCTCCACTCACCCTCACCGCCCCATCCCATCCATCCGCCTGATTTGGCCCCATCGCCCCATCCGCCTCATCCGCCTCATCCGCCTTCCCTACACCCACTTGCGTCGTGCCCCCCTCCCGCCCCTCCCCACCCTCCATGCCGCCAGCCCCCCTCTCCGGCTCTTCCCCCCCTTCGCCCATGCGCACGTCATCACCTGCCCCTCTCCGTCCCCTTTCTCCCCCCACTCCCCACATCCTCTCCGCTGGTCTCCCATCCAGACCTACCCTCCCTTCCGCTCTCCCTTCCCTTTCCCCTGCCCCTTCCCATCTCCCTCTCCATTCCCTTCCACCCGCCCCTTCCCCCCCCCCTCCCCCACGCGTCCGCCCTTTGCCAGGCGCTCTGCGCGCTTTCTTCGCCACAACGGACAGACTCAGATCTTCCAGAACCATCCCCTCCAATCCGGTGCACTTCTCCGCCAGCTCAGCAAACCCTCCGCCACTCACGTTCGGACAGCTGGCGATCGACAGCTCCTTCAGCGCCGGGCACTTCGCCACGTGGCGGACAAACCGGTCCGTTAAGTGCGTGCAGTTATAAACCGTCACTTTGCTAAGCATCGGGTGCCCTTCCACGCATTTCCAGAACTCATCCGCGGTCGGCATTGGGTCGTGCATCTCAATATGCAGAATGCTACGCCCCCACGTGGCAATCGTGTCGCACATGTACGTTCTTAACCCCTGGTGAACCTCGAACTCGCCGCAGTTACAGATGGAGAGGTATTCCACCTGTGTGCCGGCCACCTGTTGGATCTGCAGGGGCGTGTTAAGGGAGAGAAGCCGCACAATGGCTGACCCATCGAGAACATCCGCGTCGCTGATTGGAAACGCGGGGACGGAGGCAGGCGGAGTGAGGTCCCCCGCCGCCGCCGCGGCTTGAGATTCGCTCCGCGTTTCTCCATCTCTAGTGGGAGCGCCTATTCCGCCTTCCCTTGCCCCTGTTCCGCCTCCTCCAGTCGTTCTTCCGCCTTCCCCAGCCCCCGTTCCGCCGTCCCCAACCCCTGTTACTCCCCCCGCCCGCACTCCCCCTCCGCCTGGGCGCTTGTGGTGGCGGTCCTCCGCGCGCTGCTCCCGCGGAGCCCCCGGAAGCACGGTGGGGCCGAAGAAGCGGATGCGCAGCGTGCGGATGAGGGGGAAGCGGCGCAGCACGAAGCGGAGTTCCGCTGCGCTGACCTGCAGAGATTTCGGGGGAGAGGGGAGCCGGAGGGGGGGGGAGGAGGGAGGGGAGGTGGGGAGGGGTTTAAGAAGGGGGAGGATGGAATTCGAATAGCAACGGTTTGGCTCTTTTTTTTTCCCAAAAAATAATAATAATAATAATAATAATAATAATAAAAAAGAGTCATCGATTTATTTCGGCCGGCCGCATGAGAAATGGCGGCGCGGGGGGAGGGATGCGATGACGGTGAACTAGCGAAGCATGGGTCTTCAGCATAATCTACCTCGCTCCGTGATGTTAATGCGGCAAATGCGGCAAACTTGGCCGAAAGCCCCCTGCGACGGGCCAACTTATGAACGGGCATCTGCATGTACTCATCCACAGTAGCGGAGCTTCCACCACTGTGAAAGCTACGGGTCCCCAACGTGATTTACCTCGCTCGAAGCGAAACCAGAAATGGTGACTTTTGAATCGACTCAAACGTCACCTCGCAAAGCGATGGTTCTCAGAAGAAACGGATCATATTCACCTCGCTCTGCATGTAATGCGGCAGCAGTCGCTCGTAGCGAAACCACAGGCGACACACGAGCGAAACGGAGCACCGGTCTGTGACGGACAGATGCGAAAAGATCTTCGCGATCACGTCGCGCGGCAACTTGTGGATCGCCGCCGGCTCGTACGCCGGCCACGGCGGCGGTTGGATCGTTTGTGGGCGCGGCGGCGAAGGCTGGCTCGGTGGGTGCGGATTAATTCGCAAATTCTGGACCTGCGATGGTTGCGACGGCCGCGGCTGCATGGGATCCATCAGTCTCTGCTATAAAGCGAGTAGGGTGGGCTAAGAAGTAATGTAAGGAGAAACGACGCCGAAAAGTAGCATAAACTCAACGATGTGAGCAGAAACGGAGGGATTCGAGCAGAGACCCAAGAGCTTTGATTAGAAACCGAAAAAAATCGAGCGGAAACCGAGGGTTTTGAGCGGAAAACCGAGGGACATGAGCAGAAACCGACGGTTTAAGGCGGTAAATCGAGGGATTTGAGCAGAGAATGAGCAAGGAGAACAAAGCCCGAGGGATTCGAGGCATTCAAGAAGGATTGGAGAAAAAACTGCAAGGTTCATTCGAACGGAACGAAGAAGGGAGGGAGCGAGGCAAAAGGAGATGGTTTCGAGGGAGGGAGATGGTTTCAAGGGAGTGAGGGAGAGCAAGGAGGAAGTGAGGGGAGGAGTGCACTGTACAGTAGCGGACAATGGAGGAGGGGAGAGTAGGGTAAGGGAAGGGAAATGAAGTGAGGAGAAAGGAGAGGACAACTGTAGAGTGAGATCACGGTTCTGAAGTTAGGACACCATCTGAAGTGTGGACACTTTGGTAACAACAGATGCGTCTCATTGGATTCCATGCTCGAAGATATCTGGAAAGCAGTGCGGTGACCAATGATCGGGTGTGTTTACACGTCACCGAGGGTCATTTTGGGCTGATGGTGTCCAAGCTTCACCCAGAACCTACCTCAGACAGGACAGGACAACAAATCCCTTGCACGGGTAGACAGACGGGACAGGACAGCCGCGCTTGGGAGGGATGCATGCATGGCCCAAGCCACCCATGCACCAATCACCACCGCCAAATAGTGGTAATGACGACAATGAAACGTGAAATAAACTGCCAAGTGCTCGGCGGTGGCTCTGTTTCGATTAAAGGGTTTTCAGCTTAGCGGGGACAGGTATCCCGATCCCTCCGCTTTCAGGGACCAAGAATGTTTTGAAGCGGAATCGAGTGCGCCATCGCCAGGGGTCTAACCTCTTTGATCTGGCCTGGTTAGACCCCTCTGACCCATGGGCACAAGGCTCCGCCACAAAGGACAACGCCATCCGCCCAATTTTGCGCGCGCCATCTGCCCGCTAAAATATTCTCTTGTCCAACCTGCTGGTGACTCCTAATGTGTGCTTTGGGTCACGCGAAATCACCGCCTTCGCTAGCGTAACTTCCTGGCCGACTGTTGACGGGAGGTGGTCGCTGGGCCGGTTGCGACAGGATGGCCGTCTCTACGTCCTCATTGGCTTTAACGTGTATAGTTGCTTTTGACTAGGTGTAAGGAAAATTCCTTTTCCTTACTTCGCGTCCCTGCTTAGCGCGTACACCACTGTTCCCGCCAACAGCACCCCACAATAATCCGTTACCATTCGCGACATTCGCCTCGACCCCATTCCCGCCACTGTTCACGATGCGACCCAATCTCACGGTTCGGTTGGTAACCCGCGCCCCGGACCTCCGCCTCGACATTCCCCAACCTCGGCACCAGGCCCGTAGCGCACCCCAATTTTCCACACGTTACCGTTACCACTATAGCTTCGCTATATATTCTTCGCTCAAAACCTTCGCTCGTTGTATCTTGTCTCGATAGTGCAATCCTCGCTCGCTCATTCCATTGCACTCGTAACACTTGGTTATCAGAGCCTACGATATTCTCTCAAACCGCACCCACACCTTCACTTCCCCACTATCTCAATTTGT